ACAAACCTGGTTCCGTTGTAAAAAATAAAAAATAAATATTGTAATGTCAACATTATCAGTCACTGTCAAATTAAACGGAACACGCATACTTATTTAACTGTATACATTCAAATGATTTAAAACCAAGACGACATATTGGATGTACAGTTCATAACAAGACCATATATACGGGTCATGACGTACCTTACTAATTGATACATTACGTAACAGTACAATAAAATAGATTGGGGTAAAGTTGACCTTACCTAAAGAACTTCCACCACGTGCTTTGTAGATTGACATTTCTTCACACATAACATGTACATCATTCAGTATCATATTGTCTTTATTCTAAAAAATAAATACATAATATGTGAATATACATGTATGATAAATTATGGTTATAAACATTCATCAATTACTAGAATATCTTGTAAATGGTGATGGGATAGGCTAGCATCTAGTCATAATTATAGCGACGTTATCAGAACAGGGTAAAATACTTGCAAATGTCAATGAGTGCACACATGGTCGTCTATATTAATTTCTGGAAGACTCGGTATATGAAGTGACAGAATCTTTTTCTTAGAGTACGACTCGACTCGACTGTGACGGGTGTTATTTCACAGCAAACTGATCTGACGGAAAAAACTCTTTATATTAGTAGTTATGCAATGCATGTGTTTCTATTGTCATTGGTAGACTATACAATAATCCTGAAGTGGAAAGTACTTTTATCTTTTAACTGTTTTTGCGATCGACTCAAAGATTGAATCTGATTATCATCCAATAATGTTTCTCATAAATATGCAACAAACAAACACACAAATCGAATTTAGTGTCTCTAACAAAAGATGACGAGAATGATACTGTAATGTGATACCGCGAATGTGTTTGGAATTTTGATTTCAGACAAGATTTCGAAACTCTCTCCAAGTTCTGGAAATACAGGTAGTTTTAACTCGCTTGTTGAATATCAATGAAGCTTAAAATTGTTTATAAACGTTGATATCTTCTGATGGTGTAGTGTACACCACAATGATAGGTCAATAAATCGAAATAGATCAGTCTGATCAGCCATGGTTCGATAAACAATGTAAGACATTCAAACTTGATGTTACCAAGAAACTAAATAGAATGAGAAATGGCAGAAATGAGCACTAATTGAATTTACAAACATGTAAACACGAGTACAGGGCATGTCTGTCTGTACCCTCATCAGCAAGGTGTCTTGGTATTTTGTTGGTCGGGGTCATCGGGCACAAACAAAATTAATGAACACAAAGACAACGCATTTTGTTTATTTCGACTGCAAAAAACCCTTTTTCTACAGAATGGCTTTTTTGAATGAGTTTTTATCAAATGATATTGAGGCAGTCTATGATATAATTATAATTAAACTCGGAAATCTAAGTCACTGTGATAGGTATATTTTTCATTTTCATCAATTTATTACCTGGTTAAAATAACTTCTCACATGACCAACGTTTTGTAGCGTAAGTGGCTGATGCCATAGGTGTTGTTGCTGTTCTAATGTCAATCCACCAATTGCAGCTCTTGATGACTCAGCAACAGGAAGTCCGAAGTTTTTTGCATAGTCAACCATCAGATGTTCATGCATAAGTGTTACACCAAGACTGGTAAAACAAATGTGAATGGTCAGG